TACATATTTATTGCAGGATCATCGTCCGGGTGGTCGCACCACCTGGCCTTCGGACTTCTCCGCCGATCAACTGGTCGGACCGCTCAGGTTCATGGACTTTGTCATCGGCCAGTTGGTCGGACTGTTCGACGTTCACTTCTACTTGGCGCTCACTTTGTCGCCGACCAGTTGGTTGGGCTGCTCGGTGCTCGATTCTTCGCCAACCAACTGGTCGGATTGTTCGTCGCTTCATCGTCAGCTACATTGGGGGCTCGCTAGCTAAGCTAGGGACTCCACGGCATTTGGATTGTTCATCGTTTCATCGTCAGCCATGTTGGGGCTCGCCAGCTAAGCTAGGGACTTATTGGCGTTCGGATTCTTCGTGCAAGAGTCGCCAACTAAGTTGAGGACTCCTTGACGGTCGGATCTTGCTACGTCTCATCGGTGTGTTATCAATTTGCTCCATGCTGTTTGGATCAGGGTGCTGATCTTGTGTAGCACTTTCGGGGTCTTGATACACACATGTCAGATGATATCGATAGGCTTATAGATTTATTTTCTTTGACCCTGCTATAAGATTCATTCTTTATCTTTTATCGGGACTAAGTGACTACACTTCACCTAGCGGTGAATGTAGTACTCTTTTCTTGATTTACCCTCCTTATTGACTAAATCATGGATGATTCATCGTAAACGGAGTCTAAGTGGCTACACTTCTCCTAAGGTGGAGAATTTTCAAATTTTTATCTTGAGCCCCTTACATCCTTCTGGCAAGCCTTACTTGGCTAAGTCTAAGATCTGCGTACCAGTTAAACCGGTTGGCTTCGACTTTCACCGTTCAGTTCACTAGTTAAACTGGTCGGCTTTGACTTCCACCGCTCGGATCATCGGTTAAACTGATCGGCTTCACGTCAAACTGCTCGGACTTGTTCAAGACAACGTTGCTCAAAGGATACAAGGCTCTCGAGGACTAGCTATGGGGGTATGGCCCCCGGTACCCACAAGACAAGACATGGGCCGCACCACCAAAGATGGCCCAGCCCACAAGATCAAGGCGTGCACCGCAAGACTATATGAAGATATGATTTATTGTATAATACCAAATATGATATTTTCCTTGTAACTCTACTCCTCCAGAGTATATAAGGAGAGGCAGGGGTCTTCTAGACGGGATATATCGAATCTGATACACAATCAATACAAAATAACAGAGCACATGATGTAGGGTGTTACATCAAGTTGACAGTCCGAACCTGTATAAATCTTGTGTCTTGTGTCTCTGTTACCATCTGGTTCGTATCACGCGCACCTTCACCGATTCATCTACTACCGTGGGTATTCCCATAGGTAGACTACCGACTAGATTTCGTCGACAGAAGCACAAAAGCAGAACACCCGGCGAAGTTGCAAAGTGCTGCAGCAGAAAAACTGGCTTGGCTGTTTTTTGTGGACTGCACCCAGGCCAAAAGAAAAGAAATCGAAATCTCAATCAAATCAAGTCCAACTAAAACCAAATTTGTCACAGATCTTCTCCACGGTGAAAAGAAGATGTCTACAAAGTTTCTTGGACTGAAAGGGTTCTTGTAGGAGGGTTTATGTATATTTCTTTTTTATGGTTCAATTTGGGCTATACAGGTCCAAAATCCAAGCATAACCCATCCCATATTTAAACTAAACATTTTCTTGGACTGAAGCCAAACCTCGATACCAGAATAGACCGATAATTTAGGTAATTCGGGTTTGGTTCCATGTCCAACTCTAGTGGCAACACCTAAAAAAAACTCTGGCAACACATCATGGCTTGTTGAGAGTGTGGCGAATGTGGCAACGGGGACAAGAGGGAGTTGAGGCATCGAAGAGTTAGGGACAAAAATGTCCTTTTGCTAATATAACATTTAATTTTCTATTATCAAGTTTGAGCTTGTTGAGAGTGTGGCGAATGTGGCAACGGGGACAAGAGGGAGTTGAGGCATCGAAGAGTTAGGGACAAAAAGGTCCTTTTGCTAATATAACATTTAATTTTCTATTATCAAGTTTGAGTTGAGGCATTGAAGAGTTAGGGACAAAAATGTCCTTTTGCTAATATAACATTTAATTTTCTATTATCAAGTTTGAGCTAGATACTAAGGTATTTAAAATCTGGTAGGAGAATTTAAGTATACACCTTATTATCTAGTAGGGACAAAAAAGTTCTTGGCGAATATATAATATTTTTTTTCCAATTATCAAGTTTTAGTTACATACTGACATTCTTAAAATTTGGTGAGGGAATTTGAGTATAGACCTTATTATCCCCTGTTTAGATGGAACAAGGGCGGTCTTAACCCAAAGACTATGAGATAGTTTCTATACTTTCCAAGCCACGAAGATATTGCAAATCGAAATCATATTCTGAATGGATGGTTTCTTCAAAATAAAATTTATCCAATCACATATCATCTACCTATCACATCTTTTCATATCTTGGTTCTCGCGTGGACATTATTTCTTGTCTAAGAAACCATTTCCTTCTCTCTTGTTCATTAGTTACAATATCACGCCACTATTTTGCTTAGTTGGTACCTTAATTATTGAATATGGAAACCAACCAGTATTTCCTTGGATGGGAGTGCTTTAAGGCCGTGTCTAGCACAATTTCACCAACAATTTAATGAGCTGTTGTGAGCATTTTTTTTTTGCCAAACAGGTCTTTTGAAAACAGCTTCATCCATGAAGCTTCTTAAATCGTGCTCTCACATGGGAATGTGGTAGGATAAAGATGAAAATAGTAGTTTTTCACATGTTCACCTCACACTTGTAGGCCTTATGTGGGATTCTGTGAGAGCATGTTTTAACAAAATCTATATGCAGAACTGTTTTATCAAATGATTCATCAAAACAGCTTTAGCTTCACCGAGAAAGCTATTTGTAAAGCTAAAACCCTAGAAAAAAATAGCTTTACTAATGAAGGAGGTGTGACAAACGGGACCTAAGTGCTTTACTGTATTATTTTGAGAGAATATATAACTCATCTAAACACCCTCTTAGTCTAATTATTATTGCTAGTTTTTTTTAAATAAGTACGTATGATTACCAATAACTTGAAGTCTTGAAAACATAACGCAAAGTTGCCCCTGACAACGGCACTTGAAAATTGGATGCGGTGGCGAGGAGCTCAACCTGGGCTGTAGTAGTTGTACCAGTTACTGGTAGAGCCACTCAGGAGACATTTGATCTGGCCTGCAAATGACTAGGGCCACCCGTGGTGCCTGGTGCGCACTCCACTGACCACAGTGGTGCCTGGTGCGCGCTCCACTGACCACAGTGGTGCCTGGTGCGCGATGTTAGCGATCCCTGATTTTTTATGATCACTCCTCTTCGCTTGGGTTATTTATACGTATCAACGAGATTACGATGGAGGATTTAATTTTGCTATATGCGTGCAGTGAACATCTACTGAACACATAAACGATCTCATGGCATAGTATATAATAGTAATGATAACTCATCCCAAGTAGCTAGAGATAGCGAAAGCGGCAGTAGAGGTTGTTCCCGATGGCTGGGATGATGAAAGAGACAACTCAGTCGCAAGTGGAAGTGCCTAGCAGTTGTGTGCGACCAAAGACAAGCGAGTGATAGGCTATCTCCTTAATAACGTTCAAAATATCGAGGGTACAATGGTAATTTCAAGAGCAGGGTTTCACACATGTACTTGTCCTTTATTTATTTATTAGTTCTTTGTCCTGGTGGTAAAGTAAACAACCCTTATAATATCTGTACTTTTCCTGACATTCATATTTTCATTTGGGAGCCTCAATACACCAATGAATAATGGTAGAGGATGCAAATTGATTTGAGCCAAAAAAAAAACACACTATATATCCCACTAGTTCATATCTGGTGCTATATATAGTAGTTCTCTCGTAGATTTCTATATGAAGTGCTAAAGAATTTATAAAGTATTATGGCCATTCAGTTTTGTCTAGATTTATAGAATCAGAATTCAGAAACATGTAATTAAGCATAAACATTCAAACAATAACATAAATAGCTTCCTTTTGTTGTAATTATGGAACTACTTCAATTGTGTCTAAACAATTTACAGAAGAACTAATGAAAACTTTATAATTTATTCATTGATGTTCTGAAACTTCATTTTTCACATAGAGCTTTGTCCAATCAAGGTCATCCTTGTTCACAATTTTCTCTAGTGTTAATCTACATTTTTCTACAATTAATGTACCAATAAAGTCCTAGTGATGTTATTGTACTTGGGTTTCACTATTTTTGTAGAATTTTGTTTGTGTATGAGTCAATCAAATAGTAAGTGAGGATAAACCCACCATTATGAAAGGTGCAAGGGGGACATAGAACAGATTCCAATTACATTCGCTCTGTTCGCTTGGTTGATAAATCATGGCTAAAAGTACTGTTGACTGATTTATTATGAGAGAAAAAATACTATTCGTTGGCTGAAAAAGTACGACTTATAAGCCAAGCGAACATGACGAACGTAATTAATGGAGGATCAGAACAGTGGCGCTGCCCGGTTTGATTTTGCTTCCCATTTCCACCCGCCGAAAGTCGGAGCGTGAAACCCGGCCCTAGGCTGCGAGGCGAAACGAGGTTACGAGGCGACAAACGCCACGACTGACGACCCGGACGCGTGCCGGTCCGCCGGACGAGAGCGTGGCCTGCGCGTGATCACGAGACGAGGCCCCCCTCCTCGTCCTCCAGTCCTTTCCGCTTTTATAACCTGCGTGGGCCTGCGCCCTGGGCTTTCTCTCTCGCTCAAACTTCGAAAAACGGTCACCGCCCCGTCCGCCCATCTCTCCGTTCCCTTGACGGCACGTCGGCACCTGTGCACCTGCAAGGCCGCACGACGCCGTCACACGGCCGCACTACCCCGTCACAAATAATCGGTCACACCCGTCCCGGCCGCAGTTCCGCCGCACTTCCCCGCTTGCCGCTCAGCCGCCGCCGTCAGACGATCCCGAACCCAGGTTGCCAGGCCCGCCGCCGCGCGCGGGGGCGTACGTGCTATGGACCCGTCCACGGCCAAGGCGGCCGCGCCGCCCAATAATGCGGACCACGTCCTCCTCATCCCGCCCGACCACCCGCCGCCGCCAACGCCGCCGCACCCGAGCAATAACCAGCAGCCGAACCCACCGCCGGCGGAGACACAGACATCCAAACTCTCGCAGAACCCCGAGAAGCATCCGACCTCCAGTCCCTCGCGCCCGCCGCTGCCCCCCGCGGCGCTCCTCCGCCGCCGCTCCTCCATCGCCAAGCCCAAGTCGCGCTTCGTCGAGCCGCCCACCCCGACGCACCTGGACTCCGCCGACCCCTCCCCGGTCCACCCCGCCGCCGCCGCCGTCGCCTCGCTGACCGCCACCCCGACCCATCGCTCCGCCGCGGGCGTCTCCACCCCGCACACCCCCGCCGAGGCCGACGACGACGAGGACCTCTTCCGCAACAAGGAAGGCTCCCGCGCGCCGGCGTCCGCGGCGCGCTGCCGCCGCCGGGTCCGCCTCGGCCTCCAGCTCTCCGTGCTCGTCCTCTTCCTCGGCCTGCTCGTCGTCAGCCTCGTCGTGCCGCCCCTGCAGGGCCGCGTCCTGTGGGGGCCGGAGATCTGGAAGTGGTGCGTCATGGTCATCGCCGTCTTCTCCGGCCACCTCCTCAGCCAGTGGCTCGTCAGGCTGCTCGTCTTCGTCGTCGAGCGCAACTTCCTGCTGCGCACCAAGGTGCTCTACTTCGTCTTCGGGCTCAAGAAGAGCTTCCAGGTCTGCCTCTGGCTCGCGCTCGTGCTCATCGCCTGGTCCCAGCTCTTCAACAGCGACGTCGGCCGCTCCCATAAGACCGCCAGGATCCTCAACTACGTCTCCAGGTTCCTCGCCTCCATGCTCATCGGCTCCGTCATCTGGCTCGTCAAGACCTTCCTCATGAAGGTGGTGGCGTCCACGTTCCACCGGAAGACCTTCTTCGATCGGATCCAAGAGAGCGTGTTCCATCAGTACGTGCTGCAGACGCTGTCGGGCCCGCCGTTGATGGAGCTGGCGGAGAATGTGGGGCGGGAGGGTAGTGGCCTTGGGCGGGTCAGCATCAGCAGGGCCAAGGACAAGCAGGAGAAAGGCGTGCCGGAGGTGATCGATGTTGTCAAGCTCAGGAGGATGAGTCAGGAGAAGGTCTCAGCATGGACGATGAGAGGGCTCATCACAGCAATCCGAAGCTCTAGGCTGTCAACCATTTCTAATACTATCGAGAGCTTTGATGATGTAGATGGCATGGAACAGAAGGATAAAGAGATAAATAGTGAATGGGAGGCCAAGGTCGCGGCATATGCCATATTCAAGAATGTCGCAAGGCCCGGCTATAAGTGAGGACGACTTTAACTTTCCAGTAGCCATTTCTTGTCTACATATGCATGGCTCAACATGCTCAATTCTTTTCAATTTTGACATAGGCACATTGAAGAGGTGGATCTGCTGAGATTTTTCACCAAGGAGGAGGTGGACCTGGTGATTCCAATGTTTGAGGGAGCATCAGAAACCGGAAAGATAAAAAAGTCTGCTCTAAAGAATTGGGTGGTAATGGAAAAAAAAAATGAATGCATTTACTATCTCTGTTTTCCTTCTGTTTCAGAATTCATAGGAACATATTATTGGTTGGCCCATGTATCGTGTCTTGAATTTTAATTTGGTGTGCCGATGCAGTCGTAACTGTGGGTATTGAGCCTTGTTATGCATATTTGGAGGATTATATGATTTCTGCGTAATTGTCATCTGCCTTTTTTACTTCTGCATTTAGAAGTCATTCCATTTTCTAGTTCTTGCAAATCATTTGATTCCTTGAAACAGGAAACAATACACGATACATGCTAATGAAAATTTAGCAATATATGTTTTGTTTTGTAAATTTTGATGCAGTCATTGGAAATCATTTGGCTTGTATTGGAAGACGTCTGTTTGCTTTCCTGATCTTGTTTTACTACCAGGTGAAAGCATACCTCGATCGCAAATCACTAGCACATTCTCTGAATGACACAAAGACCGCAGTTATGCAACTTCACAACCTCATCAGTGTTATAATCATCATTATAATCATCATCGTTACGCTACTGTTGATGGGCATCGCGACAACCAAGATCCTTGTTGTCATCTCGTCCCAGCTTCTGGTTGTGGTATTCATATTTGGGAATGCATGCAAGACTGTATTTGAGGCCCTTATATTTGTATTCATCATGCATCCATTTGATGTTGGTGACCGCTGTGTTATCGATGGAACACAGGTAACTTCTAGATCACCCTTTCTGGTACCTGTTTCCATTGATTTCCCATGTTCTGTTGCTGACATGAATGTACTCTGATGATAGATGACTGTCGAGGAAATGAATATATTAACCACTGTTTTGTTGAAGAATGACAACGAAAAGATATATTATCCGAATTCTGTGTTGTCCACAAAGCCAATCAGCAACTTTTACCGAAGCCCTAACATGTATGACACGATTGATTTTGCAATTGATGTTTCAACTTCAGTTGAGAGCATTGGAGCTTTGAGGTCCAAAATTAAAGGGTAATTCTCAAACTTGACCTGAGTTCATATTTAACTTCAGATTTGTAAATTTATTGAAAGAAACTATGTCAGCCAGTTTAGGCAGCTTGTACTTTATTTATTAAAAAGGAATAAGATTACAGGGGGCAAGGAAACCCTTGTAGAATTTTTACAAAGAGGGGAGTGGGGGAGAGAGAATACAATTCAAATTTGTCCACAAAAGAGGAAATTGGAGAAGGAGAGGGAGAGGGAGACTGAATAACATTACAAAGATGTGAGGTAGCCGAAGCTGCAGACGACACCAGCAATGAATAGGTTACCTTAGTATAATCACATGTTTATGAAGAATTCACATTATCAATTGTCATTGGTTCCTTTTACTCTCAGGTACTTGGAGAGCAAACCAACACATTGGCACCCTGTCCACACAGTAAACCTGAAGGACATCTTGGATGTGAACAAGATCAACATGTCTCTGTGTGTCCAGCACACCATGAACTTTCAAAATATCCGGGAGAAGAACATCAGGAGGTCTGAGCTCGTTATGGAGTTGAAGAAAATATTCGAGGAGATGTCCATCCGGTACCACCTTCTACCCCAGAAAGTTGAACTCGCCTATGTCAGTCCGAACCCACTGCCCATGGCTGTTTCTCATACAAGATAGAAGATGGGTGAAGACTTGAAGTGTTATACTAACAACTTGATGATCAGTTTCATGGGATCTGACAACAGATGGCTAGTTGTGCAGTCTGTTCTGAAGTTCTTAAAACTCTGCATAGTAGATATTAGCTCGTATAATAATTTTTCAGCTAAATGGATTTGTAAGCGGTGATGGTACTGATGCTCAGTGCTTTGCGATTGGCTAGTACACCATTTGGTTATCTAGACCGTTTGGTGCATCACAATCGAAACTGTTAGGAAATAGTCACCAACCACAAAATGCTCTTAGGCTGGGGGATTGAAGTGGGCCTTACAATGTGGGATGCTGAAGGAATTGTAGACTGCTCAAGCAGCACTGCAGCAGTGGGAGAAGCACTGTCAATTCGGTCAACAGTTTATTTGGGCCACAGTGCAGGGAATATGAACAATCATCATGGACAGTGCCAATGTTTTCATGTTACATTTGCCATTGACAGTTCGTCATGTGGACTGCTCTTAGGCTTCTACGGGATGGTGACATGCGAGAAGAACTGACAAATGGCCCTGTTCGCTTCTCTTATAATTCGTACTTTGTAGCTTAGGTTTTTTAGCCGAAACAGTGTTTTCTCTCTCACGACAAATCAGCCGGAACAGTGTTTTGGCTTGGTTTTTCAGCGAAGCGAACGGGGTGGTTTTCGACTTCTTGTTGTCTTGCACCATGGTTTTCGACTTCTTGCTGTGTCTGGGTGCAGGAGAATGGAATGAATTTTCTAGATAATGCAAAATTTTCCGGGCTCTGCAGCTTACGAGTACGGAGCAGTCTCTCGAAGATGGAACAATTACTAGAGCTACCAAGATTGGCATGGATTGTTTTTTCTAAAAAATAAATAGAAACATCCGGCTTCCTGAAAAAGAATAGGGATCATATCACATTTTACAACTTAACACCATGAAAAAATCAATCGCAGTTTACAAACAGATGACTCAACCCAATTCTAGCATTAAAAGGGTCGTTCAGAGGACGCAAAGAGCCTCTTCACAGCAGTCTCTAGCTTATGACAATTCTCAATCACAAGCGCCTAAGGTTCCTCACACGGTTAAATCTAGATTCAAACGGATCTACTAATCAAAGAACACAAAAGTATAAACACTGAAAAAAAAAACGCAAGCCAGCTAAAGACACGATGTTTTTTTAATGAGGTTAAGTGATGTACCTACGTCCTCCGTGTAAGACATCAGATGTAACGGAAGAGTAATGCTAGGGCAACTCCAAGACACTCGCTTAAGCCTTCCGTGTACGGAAATGCTACGTGCAAGGTGTCCGTCCGTTTGGATGCCCATTCAGGGGCATGTATACCAGCCCAATAGATCTCTGCTTAGCGGCCGCTCATTTTTTAATTATGGTATCCGCGTCCGCCTCTTCCGTTGCACCAGTTGGATAAGGAAAGGAGAAGGAGACGAGATACCTGTCCCGCTGTGCTCCACGTGTCGACGGTCACCCCGCCTGCTCCTGCTCCGTCGGTCGCCCCGCTGCTCCTGCTCTGCGGCCCGCTCTGCCGTCGACTGTCACTCCGCGCTTCTCCTTCGCCTGCTCCACCGTGTCCCCCCGCTGCTTCCTGCTATTTCTTCTGCTCTACGACCCACTTCGCCCGACGGCGCGGGCACCGTCGTGCGCCCACACGTGGTGACCGCTCCCTCAGCTGCTAGCTAGCCACTGAGGCCGCTGTGCAAGGAGAAGCGTCGGGCCTTGGCACGGAAGCCCTCCGACCTTGCCTCCTGCTATGGCTGCGACGCCCCGATGCAGACGACGAAGGAGGCCACATCGAGATATGATGCATGTTGCAAGAGTACATTTCAAATGTTTCTGATGTTTTACAGGTATGTTGCAGTTGTTTCATAAGGATGTTGCAAAAGTAGATCGGATGTTGCATATGTTACAATGCGCATGAGAAGCGGAGGGGGCGCGAGCCCCGCGTGGGTGAGCGAAATGCAGGCTTGGGCGGGGGCGTGCTGGCCCGAGCGTGGAAAATAGAGTGCAGCGTAGGCCTCCAGACACGCGGACGTTCGTCCGGGCGGGAATTGACCTCCAAGCTCCAAGCCTCCAACAGGTTTGGCACACATCGTATCTAAAAAACCGAGTCCGCTACTCCGTCTTCCTTCGGGGGGTCCTACGGTCCGAGCGACCGGACCAGAAGCCCGCGTCGATGATTTCTCGCTCGACTTTACCGCGCGTCCCCGTTTTCCAGACCGTAAACTTTTTTCTGCTTCTTTCTCTAGCTAACTCACAAAAATAGTGAGGGTGCAAGGGTTTGAACCCAAGACCTCATAGTCTAGGATGTCATTCGCCTACCACTACAACATATTAATGTTTGTGATAAATATAAAATATTTTCATTATTAAACCATATCAAATCATAGAACGTAAGAAAACACATCTCACGTGAGCATCATAGAACGTAACAAAAAATATTACACCGGCATTATACAACATTTATATCATGTGAACATAAAAAACATAATAGAACATCACATGTATAATGCATCATAGAACATCATTCTATACTACGTGAACATCACATGTATACTACACGAACATCACAAAATAAATCATAGAACATCATATGTATAACACGTAAACATTAAAAAAACATCACATAACATCACATGTATACTATGTGAACATCAAAAAAATACATCTAGAACATCACATATATATTATGTGAACAACACAAAATATAACACATAACATCCCATGTATACTACGTGAACATCATAAAATACATCATAGAATATCATTGTATACTACATGAACATCACTGTATACCACCTGAACATCATAAAAAACATCATAGAACATCACATGTACAACGCTTGAACATCACAAAAATAATATAGAACATAAAAAACATCATAGAAAACTTCACATGTATAACAAGTGAACATAATAAAAAATCATAGAACATCACATGTATACTACATGAACATCGCAGAAAACATCAAAGAACATGACATTATATACACGTGAACATCGCAAAAAAGCATCATAAAACATCACATCTCATAGAATATAGAAAATAAAAAGTTAAACATGAAAAAATAATTAAGTAAGGAGTTGCGGGGTCGAAACCGCGGCAAGCATGTTGTTCGAGTCGATGTCAGAGTACGGGTCTCCGATGGCTCGAGTGGACTCAGGAACACAAGAATCACACAGGGGAGACGCAATGATTTATCTTGGTTCGGGACAGTTCGGTCCCTACGTCTAGCAGCTGATGATCCTTATACTCAAGAGCACCCAAAATCAGGGGGTTACAACAGAGTGTAAAGGAAGAAGATTTGGTAGGGGGTTAGCTCGGTGCTAATCCTAAGGTTGCCTCGCCGTCGGTGGAGCCTTCCCCCTCATCGGAGTGGAGGAAGATGACGGGATGTGGTGGAGGAGAGGCTCTCGGTGTGGCCCTCCTGGTTGCCTTGCCCTCTGTGCAGAGCAGAGGCGGATGGAATGGAGTATCTGGTGATCAAAGATGGGATCCACTCCCCTCTAGGTTCAAATTTATCCCTTATATAATGAGATAGGTCGGGTACATGGCAGTTTGGGGGTTTAGTCTACGGTCTATGTGCACTGGAGTCTAGGAGGATCTTGCAGCGATGCACCGTGGACTGTGGCGGTGTCTTGGACCCGAAGAAGCCTTGGGCGTCGTCTAGCTGCTCTGTTCTGACACTCTGCATGTCAGGCGGTGTTAGCTTGGACCGGCCTCCCCCGGGTGAGACCTTCTGGAGTCTTCTTGGTGGCGGAGGAGGTCAGCTCTAGGGGCTGATGCGTGGGCTCGGAAGCCCGCAAGCCCCTGGAGGCCATGGGAAGCTTTGTCTTCTTATGTCATGCCCTGGACATGACCCTATCGGAGGAGCAGTTAACAGGGCCACGCCGCCAAGGAGCCCCCGAGCATCGATAGCTCAGGGCTTGTCTTCTTGTGCCTAGGCCTTGGCTGGCGTTGTGAGCTGGGCAGAAGACAAGGACCAGGCTTGGCCGTGCCGTAGATCGGTAGCCCAAGGCTTGGGAAGCCCCTAAGCCCTAGGCAAAAGCTACGGTCGAGTTAGGCTTGGCCAGATCTCTTTGCCAGAGGGTGCGTGCGAGTGTGCCCGATGTGCATAGCCCCCGAGCCCCCGGGCGATCCTAAAGTGGTCGGTTGGGGGGTCTTCTTCATTCGGGAACCATTGGAACTGAGGCTTCACATACCTATATGTTAGGATCTCGTTAGGAGCCCCTGAGCCCTTCGTGGCCTTACCTGGTGTGATGACGATGAAGGGCTGAATTCGATCATTTGGTGATCGAACCCTCCTTGGCGGGGACGTCTTCCGCTAGAGAGAGCGCTATGCCCTGCCTGGGGCCTTCTTCTCCAAAGTGACGGGCGTTGCTCGGCTATCGGGGCTGAGCGAAGATGGTGTTGATCCCTTCGTGAGCCAATGTCGCATGGATCTCTGACTCGAGTGAGAGCTCGGCGAACTCGTCTGGGAGTTGCCGACTGTAGGCCTAGGGGCGCCCTCCTTTTTGATTGGAGCCTATCTTAGGCCGGGTGATCAAGAGCGTTGGGCTCTGGCTTAGGGCTGTCTGATCATCCGGAGCACCATGCCCTTTTGGGGGCTGCGATAACAGGTCCTGATCTTCTTGAGCCAGCCTTCTAGGGCCGACCCTCTATGGCCATAGGTCGAGGAGATGGGAGCGCGCCAAGGCTTGGACGGAGGCCCTCGTTGAGCCCGCTACTCAGCGGCTCCCGACCCAACTCTGGGGAGTTGGTTGGTTTTTGGAGGATACGCCACCTGAGCACCCGTCTATCGGGGGGTTGGGTTGCTTTGTCTGGGGAGCCGACGTAGCCCCCGAGACCATTGGGGCCTCAAAGTCTTCACGAGCGTAGTCGAGCCTTTAGCTTGGGGCTAATGTTCCTTCAGTGGGCTGGGCTGCCACGACAATAGCCTTGTTGGCCAAGATTGCCGCGCCCGTGCTACTAGCGGGTAAGTCCATGAGAACCCCAA